AATGGTACAATTATTAGACCTATACATTGTTGGTATTGAGCGTAAAAATTGTACGATGGAGGTATCTCCAACATTTGCGGATAATTAGACTCCTGTACCCAGAGGGTTAGTTGTGTTTTATAGTTTGTAGTATAGTCTGTAGGGCCCAAGACTATGGTAGTACAGTATGTTGTTCCGGAACGTGATTAGCAAGTGTGGAATGAAAGCTTATCAGCAAGGTTAGCTATAATGATTTGAGTATCCTCATAGCAAATAAACAAAATCGCACATCACTGCCACCATTATAGCAGTTGTTCAAATAGTTAATGTGCGACATCGCCGCTGGATAAATAATATGAAGGCGAAAGATATGGGTTTCATATCTTGCGGGTGGCTGGAAATTTCAGCACACGTCACTTACCATACCTCTGATCATGCACATGATCTGATCATGGAGGTATGAAAAGATCATGGAGCTCTTTCATCTTGGGATGATCTGGAAACACCAACTAGAAAAGAGCAAAAACAAACGACGAGACATAATAATAGAACAACGAAAGTGATTCACAACCACGATATTAAACGGTTAAACATGTGCGGTATCCAGGTAAATATATAGAGTACTCCGGATGTAGTCTGCAATAAATAAATTAAAGCTATCTGGTTAATTGATGATAAGGAGAGAAAGACTAGATGAGTAATGATGACAAAGGTGAACTTAAAGCAACACTGGTCGTATGTAAGGAGCACGGATCCTTTAAATAAAGAGTATAATTGAATCAGAAGCCATTATTATAATGAATCATTATTAAGTATCAATATACGTAACACGGGCACCTTGCCATTGCCTTCCCCTATCCATTTAATAGCTTCATGCCCTATAAATTAAATGTACAGAATATCGATGTCTGTACGCTGTCTAATCGTCTGTGTATGTCTGCCCGTCTGTCTGATTGTCAACATCGCTCAATATATTTCATAATCTCTTGTCACAAACTAATAATAGTTTGTTGTTTTTAGTCTACACCTTTTTTGGTCCTTCTGCATCCCTCTTATCGTAACAAGGGTACTTTGGAACTTATCCTTTGCAGGAGCAGTGGCATCCCAATATCTTCTAACGGTTCCTGTTCTTTTCATTTTGCTTGTTCTTTTTGTCTTTTTTATGTATGCTTGTTATGAAAATACTGAATAAATCAAATCAAATCAAAAGAGGTCGTCAAAGGAAAAAGATGATATGATGATGAGCACATACCAAATTAAATGTTTGATGTACTATTATAATAACCATCATCTTCATCATCAACATCATCATCATCATTATCACCATAATGTTACTAAGGTTTAAATTATAAATATAACTACGTAACATGACAAATATTTAGTTTACTACGGTTTAGGAATGTTAACACACTTTAAAAGAACTGCATATTGACCTATCACATGAGTCATATCGATATTGAATTATCATTCGTGCCAAATACAGCGGTTTTGCACCGGACGTCATTTTCCCAATAGTTTATAAATTTTGACGGATTAGGCCTTCCATAGATATCGAGAACAAGCAGTGTGATCGAGTGAGAACAACTTGGAATTGAACCAACGATCATCAGATTGAAAACAGTGTTCTTTACAACAATTTTAAATTAAAAACATTAACGAATCTACTGGACAATGGACAACGTATCATCGAACAACTTCATGAAACAGAATGATTCACTCGTTTGGTTAAGCATACAGGCCTGAGGCCATAAAATTCACAAAACAACTCCCTGAAAATTCGGCTTAGGCCTACATGATTTGAATGATATAATCAATAAAAGTAAAACTTTTAGAAGCCGTTACAAGTTGATAATTTCGACCAGACCAGATAATTTCGTCATTTTGTTTTAGGCCTAATTATTTCGTCAAGAAAACTGAGAAAAATCACATGATCAGGTTCACAAGAGAGGCCTAGTATCCGGATCGAGAGCTAACCGTTACCAGGATCCGGATACGCTGACGGATGCGAGCGCTATCGGTCAGCAAATTGAGCGCGTATCTGTCATTAACCAATCACACTTACGCATTTCCAATTTAAATACAATAGAACTCATCAACCTAAACACGTGTCCTCGTATACATTTTAGAAACATACCTTAGTCAGACTGTAGGTGTTTGAGCTACAAGTTGTAGCAAAATAATGATGCGAAACGTCATAGAATGAAAATGTTTCAAAACATTGACGTAGGACTATGCAAGTGATTGAATACAGAAAGGTGAAACATCATAAAATTATCAAACAAAAATGATAAATATGGGTGAACTGTAAATAGTCAGACATTTGGATAAAATGATTCAACACATGAACTAACTTTTATCTCGAGTTTTAAGTAGCGTTTACATTAATCAACGAATTATCATGTTCCAGATGCCTTCCATAATGAAACAAGATGTTTTGACATTATAGACACAGGACAACACCTCTCAATGACCCAAATAGATGGAATATGCCCACTTAGTACCAGCACAAAGATCTGTTTAAAAAAACAAAAACATATAGGCCTATATTTTAACTATGCAACATGCAAAGAGGTGAAGTGATAGATATGGAGAAACAGCTGTTTCCCTAGAAAAAAAAATAGGCTATTAATTTTAACAGTTATTACGTAAGCCACCGTTTCTGTATGACAAGAAAGTGACCCAACATTTTTAAGAGTTGGTATTCACAAACGTCTATTAACTAACGTTAAAAAAAGATTACAGTTTGGTATTAAAAAACTATAATTACGTATTTACAATATAACTAATTAATAACATTTCTGTAAGGGAAGAGAGAGACGGTTTGGAACTTGGATATATTTTGTCCACATGAGCAATCTTTCTTGGTGTACTTTGTGCAAATCGGTACAACATTAATTTGGTACATGGGTAGGTCTAAGCCCTGTACTTCTGTTTTTATTTGCAACCTTTGGATGGGCTTCTTTTCTTTTTTTTTAAGATGAGCTTCTTTTTGAGATGCGCTTCTTTTCGAGGCTAATTTTGCAAAGTAAAGAGGAAGGGGGTGGGGGGAGAGTGGGAGACCTCTTTCCAAAATGAATGCTGTAAATTTTGGAAATTACTACTATAAAACAATAAATAGGGCCAACGTCAGTCTGTATCATGAAGTGTATATTAACCGGCATTAAGTCACCTAATACGGTACTGTATAAACCAACGTGTTTTTAGTCTATTTTGTTTCTTTTAAATTCATGTAAAGTGTATACATAATACTGTACTATCTCGAAAAGAAGCCCACATGCTCTATTGGTCTTCTTTTCGAGGCTACTTCTGCAAACTAAAGTGGTGGGCTTCAATTTTAAATGGGCCTCTTCTCGAGATTAAGCCCATTCGCCTCCTATTCGTAGTTTTACACTATTTTGACTGGTAATATGCCACTATCATTAGATCATTATGACATCATCATCACATGCTAAGCAAAAGTATTAACCAATACGCTCGTTTACATTATAACCGCAACATCAACTTCTCGACAATATTTTGGGTTGAGTAGGCAAACTCTCAAACATCTGTTGCGCAGATCTTAATTAAATTAATTACCGAAAGGCTGAGATTTATGATTTATTGCAAGTAATAATTTTCAACTAATAAACATCATTGCTGAGTTTTGCTTGTCAACCGGCGAACATACATGCCAACACGTTACTTCAATTGCGGGGTCAACTGAGGGGGAAATATAAAAAAATAATGCATTGCTTTCTTTGTTTACTCGATAAGTTATGAAATAATAAAAGGCCTATTAATAAATAATAATATAATAGGCCTACTCAAAAATAATGGTAAAGTGTACAGGAATGAAAAAACAAAGCCTCATAAAAAACATAAAATGATATGCTTAATTGCAGCAAGAATCCCCAAGTGGTCAGCTCCCCTGTGGACTTGTTTATATACATCAAGGAACTCAAAACGATCACTCTCGGAATGTTAGAATATATTACATTAGATGTAGTTAAAAATAATAACATTGTAATTTTTTTCAATATGACTATGCCTACATATATTTCAAATATATTTTTAGTATTGTACTGGTAGGCCCTATTTATTTATTTCGTTGCATTGTTGAGCACATCGTTTATCAATTTTGAGCACCATGCCTTTTCTTGAGCGAACCAGGGTTCGCCATGATATACCTCAGAGCGGAGAGGAGGTAGCTGTGGAGGAGGTAATGCCCCGAAGGTCGAGACCCAATGTCCCCGACGAGAGCAAAAGTGGGCAGGGCCAGCCACTGATCCCTCGGAGGGATCCAGTGAGATGTAAAAGGCTTATTTAATCGAATTTGTCTCAGTCTAAAAATCTATTAAAAAGAAAAAAATTACATACGAATTTATTTTCTCTCCAACGTGCTGAACTCCCAGATGGAAGGACCCTGCTACCAACTCTTCCATGGGCGCTACTACTGGGATCCATTTTTCTAGAGACGCAAAGTTTATGGAGCGCATCGTTTCTAAGGAACAACCGTTTGTGGATTAGAGCACGTACCGATAGATATAACGCATACTATGCACCGTTTCTAGGACACGCCTTTTGTTGAGCACAATGATCGGCCTACAAATTCTGTGCAGAGTTCAATAATCGCAAATTATTTATGAAAAAAAAGACAATACCACTTATATGCAAACAAACGAAACTGATAAACGCCAATTGATGAAGACCGACAAACGGCAGGCGGCGCAGTCGTACGAATGTTCTCAATTTAGGATGTAAACAGAAACAGAAATGACCGTTTTGAAACGACCAAAAGTAGCTCTGTTACCACATTTCCGGGGGGTTTCATTCGAAATTGAGAGTATGACAGTCGTAGAAAGTTTTAAAAATAGATATTACAGCCATGCGTGTAGTGTGCAGGACACTTGGGCGATTGTTTGCAAACGCATACAAGGAGGTGGCACCCCGTCAATACAGTAAAATTTGATCGCAGCTGATTAGCCAAGTGGATATTTATTTTGCATTTGTAACTCTTGCCTGGCCTAACGCGCTGGGTATCCACAAACCTTCGCGGTGAAGTAATCAATTTATTTGATCCATGTCACGCATTGATTGGTTGAAACAACACAGTTAAGCGTTGGTTAATTAGATTAGGAACCAATAAGAAACAAGATTGACCAATTAGCGTGACTAACGACATTACTGACAAGTGGCGGATGTAATTCGCCTCTCCTCTTCCCTTAAGGGTCACGATGAATGCGAACCTAGTTACGTAGTAACGAAGGCAGGAAAGCGGAGTGATGTACACAAGAATTAACACATGGTCCTAACGCATTACTAAACACCAGACGTGCATCTCAACTAACTTGCTTTGGCATACTCTTGGAATAGAACCTATTTTTCATAAGTGTGTTGTGCTCTGGACAAGATAGTCTCAAAATGACCATGCTAGCATCGTCTGATCTTCTGGGCTCCCTCCAGAAACTTGCTGGCGTAGAATTAAGTCCTCCTCGAAATCCTGGAAAACCACTTACCTCGTTTCTAATTAAGGATATTTTGACTAATGCTGGAAATGAATGCAAGAAAATACAGAAACTTGAAAGATCGCTCAATGGGCAGGGGATAAGCCGATCTGATCGATGTTCCCTCTCCATCCCAACACTGTCTTCATCCCGCAAGCACCACTCAAATCGAGATACTGACGCCGGATCGCCGTTGTCTGCTTTGGAAGAACTCACAAACAAGACTTTCACCGGACTCGAAACTGGTATTCTCAAAGCCGCCGAAGGTAACTATTATTGAAAGTTTAACAAACACACACACACATACATAATATATATATATATATATATATATCGTTGTAGAGTTTGTGGATGTGAATTAATGAATGTTGTGAATAAGAATGATCATTGTACATAATTTCGTTATAAAAAGTTTTTGAACAATGTGACAGACACGCAAAGGTTCATCTCAACGGTTTAATACACAACAGCACAGGTAGGCCTATAACGGCTTACTATAGACAACTCCCTACTATAGGTATAGCTATATTCCAGTCGCCTATGATATTCGATCCCAACCGGTTGCTATCACTTTATCGGTATGTTTACTGCATTGAATTCTTAAGGTAGTGCGATTGATGTTTGAATGATATTGATCATTGTTTTGATAGTAATTCCTGTCGTAGTTCCTAGAATGTACAGGTATAAACATTCCTCAAGGGTTAATCAGGTTTACGAAAAAAGCATGATCCTCAAAATCTGCTAAAACCCAACGGTACTGTTTGATTTAACAGTTACTTTTTATCATTCATTCTCACTCTTGTAAAGCTAACGTAACGAAGTCCCGAACACTTAAGTATCTGCAGAATACCAATACAACACGCATAATGCATCCTAATTTAGGTAGGCCTATCTAAATTTTAAAATTTTGAGTTTATAACTATTTCCCTCTTTCAAAAGTGATTTTTTTCTGGGTATACAGTACGGTACAATTATTTACAACTAAAAAATAATATAGGCCGTTAGCCTTCCAATGATATTTTTCAATTTTTTCAATTTCACTAAAAACTGTCCAGAACTACATAAACATGGCAAGTATGATTATAATAGTACGGTACTATAAAGTATTTTTGTGTTTTAACGCGATTTTCATTTTTAAGGTCTGAAAACCATTAAAGTTGATATAAATAATAAATACTTTTGTTTCATCATAAACATTTTAAATATACAGTAGTTTGTATGTAGCTTTGTGTTTGTCGAATAACTATTGTGAATGTACCACTGTTTTAAAAGTGTATGTTCGAATAAAGATTAGGCTTATTATTAATTTTATAATATACAATGGTTTTAAAATCTTATTCCAAGTTGTAGACGTTCTCTGTACGAAGAATTGTCTGATTGCAAAATTTTTAAAAGTACATGTCATCTTCTTTTTGCAAGAATGTCAATTGGAAGATAGCCTACAACAGATTGTCATTCGACTGGTCACCATTTTAATTGTTAATAAGTATTGTAGGTGATGGTAATTCGGCAAATTAAGTTTCGTCAAATGTAGAGTTGTTACACCTGCGTTTGGTGTTTCTGTAAGTGCGACCTCCTACCGCCATCTCTTAGCTTACTGTTGATATTGTGTTACGAATTTAGCAACATAAGGTGTACGTATGAATAGTGGTTTTTTTAAAAGTTTTGAGCAGTGAATCTTTGTATAAATGAGGTAGTAGAAGTCAAGAGTGTAAGTTTTATCACAATTAATATTTCAAAGTTTATGCTAAGTGCATTCTACGATGCATCTTATTTTTTCAAGTGTCTATATTGATGGGTTGGGTTTAGCACATGTTAAAAGTTTGTTTATTTTTTGTCCAGTGTGTATTTATATGTATCGTATTTTCTTCAGGCCTTTAAGTGATTCTAACAAGGTCACTTTAAAGTGGTCCGCTTGAGCATTTATCATCAAAATCTAGGGCTGCATTTCAATGGCCTACTACTACTAGCATCTTTACGTAATACAAAAACATTTAAATTCTACATATACTATCTTTTGATTATGCTACATTCGTTCTCATAAGCATGAATATATCATGAATATTTAAATAATTAAAAACAATAATTTTTTTTTACAAAAAAAGATATAATTTTAATATATCTAATACCACGTTTCAATATAGGCCTATAATATGTAATTATAAATAAGAATGATGTGTATCGCAAATGAACCCGTGTTTTATTTTTTTAAATTAAATTCTTAACGATTTTAATTTCGATTTTGTATGATGAATAACCGAGTATACTTAGGCCTACAATGTATCCTGAAGTTTCTAGGTAAACCCAATTCTCTTTCTTTAATTAGGCCTATATTCTTTTTCTTTGAAGAACAATACGCACTTTAGGCCTACATTTTATATATGCCTAACATTAAATGAATTTACATGTACAGAACTATAAGTTCAACAAGGCCGCTTGTTCTAATAATTGTTTTCAATAACCAACGAGTACGAAATAAAATAATCAACGCATTGCATACAGATTGTAAGCAAAAGAAGGAATATACAAATGTATATAATTATATCAAAGGAAATGGTATAAAACATACACTTGCTTTCGATTTTTTATGTTTTTTTATAACTTTCAACAATCTTAACAAGTGCAAAACAAATAGAATAAATAACTTAGGCCTAAATGTTGACATTTGTGCTGTGTCAACATAAAATCTGATCTAGTATTAGACAGTGGAGTTTAAGGTGAAAGCTTGACGTTCTTTCAAGATTTAGGCCTATAGAACAAGAGAACGAGTTTGTCTTTTATAGGTTTTAATTCCAGAATAAATTGAAATTGAAATGGTAGGGTGACCATAGATAACTCT